TTATCAGGGTACTCTGCAGTCAGTGGTTGGATAATAAATATTTGTTGAATGAAAAAAATGAACTCCTTTAACCTATCTCTCCTGGCTTCCACTGTGGTTCCCCTTTGTTCTAGTCTTTCTCTCCCTTCTAAGACCAGCTTTTTCCTATTCTGGACCACTCTGTTTCTCTCGTCCATTCTGATTCCTCCTTCTCCTTCTCTAACTCTCTGCAACTTTACTTTTTTATTTTTTTATTTTTTTGAGACGGAGTCTCGCTCTCTCACCCAGGCTGGAGTGCAGTGGCGCGATCTCGGCTCACTGCAAGCTCCGCCTCCCGGGTTCACGGCATTCTCCTGCCTCAGCCTCCTGAGTAGCTGGGACTACAGGCGCCTGCCATCACGCCCGGCTAATTTTGTTTTGTATTTTTTAGTAGAGACGGGGTTTCACAGTGTTAGCCAGGATGGCCTTAATCTCCCGACCTCGTGATCTGCCCGCCTCGGCCTCCCAAAGTGCTGGGGTTTTTTTTTTTTTGGTTTTGTTTTGTTTTGTTTTTGAGATGGAGCTTCGCTCTTGTTGCCCAGGCTGGGGTGCGATGGCGCGACCTCGGCTCACTGCAACCTCCGCCTCCCGGGTTCAAGCGATTCTCCTGCCTCAGCCTCCCGAGTACCTGGGATTACAGGCATGTGACACCACACCCAGCTACTTTTTGTATTTTTAGTAGAAACAGGGTTTCTCCATGTTGGTCAGGCTGGTCTCGAACTCCTGACCTCAGGTGATCCGCCCGCCTTGGCCTGCCGAAATGCTGGGATTACAGAAGTGAGCCACCGCATCAGGCCTGCAACTCTTTTTTCTTTCCCTTCTCCCCAGCTCTACATTTTTCTTCCTATGTTTGTTTCTCTCCTTTTCTTTTTTCTTCATATATATATATGTGTGTGTGTATATATATGTGTGTGTGTATATGTGTGTGTGTGTGTGTGTATATATATATATATTTTTTTTTTCCCTCTTTTTTAAGATGGGATCTCGCTGTGTCACCCAGGCTGGAGTGCAGTGGTGTGATCTCGGCTCACTGAAACGTCTGCCTCCCAGTTCAAGCGATTCTCCTGCCTCAGCCTCCTGAGTAGCTGGGATTACAGACATGCACCACTATGCCCAGCTAAGTTTGTATTTTTAGTAGAAACGGGGTTTCTCCATGTTGGTAAGGCTGGTCTCGAACTCCCGACCTCAAGTGATCCATTTTCGGCCTCCCAAAGTGCTGGGATTACAGGTGTTAGCCACCGCGCCCAGCCTAAACCCTGATTTCTACATCTGTAATATGGAACTAATGAGGCTTGCCAATTAGAGCTAGTGCCTGTCCACCACATGGGATGCACTCAACAAATGGTAGGTATCATTTGATCTAAACTTCCCCATTTTTAGATAAAAGTGGATGAGACCAGAGAGGCAATGACTGATCTAAAGGTGACCAGGCTGTCAGATCTTCTTAGTTCCTATTCAGCTTACTCTCACCTGGATCCTTCTTAAAGTCAATTTCGAAGTATATGGTTCCCATTTCAAGGTAGAGTATCCACTAATTTTCAGTATCATATGGACCTACTTCCATTTACAGTAAATAAAAACCAAGAGAGACCAACCCACTTACTAGCTTAAGCACAGAGATTCAAAGCAAGAAGAGGAACTTTCCAAAAGCTGTCAGCCTTATTCATATGTTGCTATCATATAGTATATTAAAAATCAAAGAGTAGCTGAGGAAGCAATGAGCTAGCAATTCCTAATAATTCCTTCCAGATTCAGCCTAGGACATTGACTGTGTGTGTGTGTTTGACAATCTTTTAAGAATAAGAATCTGTAAGGACAATTATTTAGTGTATGATTTTTAAAAGGCACTAAAGAGGACACATCCGGTAGAAAACCAAATATCCCCTTAAGAAGTGATATTTAGGCCGGGCCTGGTGGCTCACACCTATAATGCCAGCACTTTGGGAAGCCGAGGTGGGTGGATCACTTGAGGTCAGGAGTTCAAGACCAGCCTGGCCAACATTATGAAACCCAGTTTCTACTAAAAATACAAAAAATTAGCTGGATGTGGTGACAGGCGCCTATAATCCCAGCTACTCAGGAGGCTGAGGCAGGAGAGTAGCTTGAACCAGGGAGGTGGAGATTGCAGTAAGCTGAGATCATGCCACTGCACTACAACCTGGGCAACAAGAGCGAAACTCGGTCTCAAAAAAAAAAAAAAGTGATGTTTAATTCTCTTTAAAATAGTAATTCTATTGTTATTCATGATTATGGATAAAAGAAAAAAATTGAAAATATTTCATCACTGTAACATGTTTTTATTTTCATTAAAGCTGTATAACAAGCCAGACATGGTGCCACGTTGCAGTAAGCTGAGATCATGCCACTGCACTACAACCTGGGCAACAAGAGCGAAACTCGGTCTCAAAAAAAAAAAAAAGTGATGTTTAATTCTCTTTAAAATAGTAATTCTATTGTTATTCATGATTATGGATAAAAGAAAAAAATTGAAAATATTTCATCACTGTAACATGTTTTTATTTTCATTAAAGCTGTATAACAAGCCAGACATGGTGCCACGTGCCTGTAATCCCAGCTAACCAGGAGGCTGAGGCGGGTGGATCTCTTGATTCTAGGAGTTCAAGACCAGCCTGGGCAATATAGCAAGCCTCCAGCTCAAAAAACAAACAAACAAAAAACTGCAGAACAAATGTTAAGAAAACTAACTGGTATATTTTGATATGCAAACAATTTAAGGTCGACATTAACGAGGACAATTTTACCTCAGGAAAAAGATAATATTAGTTTGGATGGGGTGTATATATCATATTAATACTATTAGTACCTTACATTTCTCTAGCGTGATCTAAATTTCTGGCGCAATCTCAGCTCACTGCAAGCTCCACCTCCAGGGTTCATGCCATTCTCCTGCCTCAGCCTCCCGAGTAGGTGGGACTACAGGTGCCTGCCACCATGCCTGGCTACATGTTTTGTATTTTTAGTAGAGACGGGGTTTCACCATGTTAGCCAGGATGGTCTCAATCTCCTGACCCCGTGATCTGCCCACCTTGGTCTTCCAAAGTGCTAGGATTACAGGCGTGAGCCACCACGCCTGGCCAATGCTTTCTTTTTTCTTTTTTTTTGAGAGTCTTGCTCTGTCATCCAGGCTGGAGTGCAGGTGCGTGATCTCGGCTCATTGCAACCTCTGCCTCCTGGATTCAAGCGATTCTTCTGCCTCAGCCTCCCGAGTAGCTGGGATTACAGGAACCTGCCACCATGCCCAGCTAATTTTTAGAGGTTATAAAATACTTTTGCATACATTTTGATTTTTTCTTTTTCATAACAACCTCATGGCAAAAGTAGGTCAGTTACCTACAGATTAGGAAACCTAACCTTCTGGGTGACTTGTTTAGTCAGTAAGTGTGAAATAGCCTCAAACACAGGTCCTCTGGCTTGTTTTCCAATTTTTTTTTCACTACATCATACTGCCTTATAAAAATGATATAACATTTTTTTTCTTTTTTTGTTTTTGTTTTTTTTTTTTTGAGATGGAGTATCGCTGCAACGCCCAGGCTGGAGTGCAATGGCATGATCTCAGCTCACTGCAACCTCCACCTCCCAGGTTCAAGCAATTCTCCTGCCTCAGCCTCCCGAGTAGCTGGGACTTAAAGGCATGTGCTACCATGCCTGTTAATCTTTGTATTTTTAGTAGAGACAGGGTTTCACCATATTGGCCAGGCTTGTCTCAAATTCCTGACCTCAAGTGATCCTCCCGCCTCAGCCTCCCAAAGTGCTGGGATTACAGGCGTGAGCCGCTGCTCCTGGCCATCACTTCATGTGTTTAATTCTTCCCTTTTCATGTACTTTATATATATATATTCACAAACACTGACTTGTTTCCAAGTAGGCATCACAACTCTGAATAAGCAAAGAGAAAACTCTGTTTGGACTCTTAGTTAATAAGCCAAAGAAATCTTTCTGAATTTACCTAGTTCTCATTATTTATCTTATTGTTTATGTGTTTGTTCCTTATGATGAAGTTTCTTACAGTGGACATAGGGGCCAGGAGGACACATGTTTTGATAAACAGATTTTCCATGTTTTCAATTATTCTAGTTTGGGGAAAGGAGGAGGACATGATTTGAGCAAAATAAAAGAATCTCATAGCGAGCTGCCAGCTCTTACTAAACTGTACATAATTTGTCAATATTTTAATAATTTGACAGTACTATAATAAAATCAAGGTTTCTAGAATAAATCATTTTCACTTTTCACTACTGAAAGCATAACCTATATCTTTTAACTAATTTCATTCAGCTATAGGAAATGCTGCCCTCAACCACATCCAGAATGTAGTAGAATAACTCTAGAACTAACTCTAGGATAAAGATATGTTATTTATTCTTTTCTAAATAAGTCTTATGGCTGTGTCTGATAATTGTATGTTTGTTTATTTATTCCATCGATAACTGTTTGTCCTGAATTGTATGTTTTCTGAAAAGGAAATTACATCATAGTCCTTAGTCATTTCATGCTGGTCTCAAAATTGTTTATAAACTACTATGTTTCATCTCCTTCCGCATTATTTTGAATTCCTAGGGACCAAATGACTGAAGTAAAAGTAGGTTCTGTTTTATTAATGCTTTCTTTTTATTATTATTATTATTATTTTTTTTTGAGACAGAGTCTCACTCTGTCTCCCAGGCTGGAGTGCAGTGGTGTGATCTCGGCTCACTGCAAGCTTAACCTCCTGGGTTCACGCCATTCTCCCGCCTCAGCCTCCTGAGTAGCTGGGACTACAGGCGTCCACCACCACGCCTGGCTAATTTTTTGTATTTTTAGTAGAGATGCGGTTTCACCGTGTTAGTCGGGAAGGTCTGGATCTCCTGACCTCGTGATCCACCCGCCTCGACCTCCCAAAGTGCTGGGATTACAGGCGTGAGCCACTGCGCCCGGCCGGATTAGTGCAACACCATGTTTTAATGCAATAAATTCAGACTTACTTTTCCAAGTATGTTGAGCCCTGCTTATTTTCTGTACTTTCATGCTTGAGTTAATAAACTGCAAAGTTTCCCTCTTTTGTTTGCTTTGTTTTCCTTTATATACCATTTGTTGGAGGTTCTCTATTTTGAAAGAGAGGGGGATGGAAAGTAAATTATCCCCTTGGGCTTGCGAAATAAAGTTTACCTATCTACTAAATAAATATCTCATAGCTTTCTGTAGTGGCTCAGTGGGTTATTGGAATCCTTTTTTTTTTTTTTTTTTTTTTGAGACAGAGTCTCGCTGTCGCCCAGGTTGGAGCAGTGGTGTGATCCTGGCTCACTGCAACCTCCGCCTCCTGGGTTCAAGCAATTCTCCTGCCTTAGGTTCACTGCAACCTCCGCCTCCTGGGTTGAAGCGATTCTTCTGCCTCAGCCTCTCGAGTAGCTGGGATTACAGGCGCACCACCGCATCCAGCTAATTTTTTGTATTTTCAGTAGAGACAGGGTTTCACCATGTTAGCCAGGCTGGTCTGAAACTCCCGACCTCAGGTGATCCTCCCACCTTGGCCTCCCAAAGTGCTGGGATTACAGGCATGAGTCACCGTGTCCTGCCTATTTTCTTTTTCAAATACTGTTTATTTAAAACCCATATAAGGTGGCTGGGAGTGGTGGCTCACGCCTGTAATCCCAGCACTTTGGGAGGCAGAGGCCAGTGGATCATCTGAGGTCAGGAATTGGAGAAGAGCCTGACCTAACCTGGTGAAACCCCATCTCTACTAAAAATATAAAAATTAGCTGGGCACGGTGGCGTGTGCCTGTAATCCCCGTTACTTGGGAGGCTGAGGTAGGAGAATCACTTGAACCTGGGAGGTGGAGGTTGCAGTGAGCAGAGATTGCACTCCAGCCTGGGCAACAGAGGGAAACTCCGTCTCAAAACATCATCAACAACAACACTCACATAAGGCTGAAAAAGAAAAGAAAACTTCTAGGCATTCTCAGTATTAGGTTTAAGAATGAGACTTGTATGTTCATAAACAAGAGGTCATGTGAGCTGTCAGAGCCGGTACATGGGATAGGAAGGCCAGAGTCCGTTCGTAAACCAGTAACAGGAATAACAAGAGATAAACATTATCAGTTTACGCCCAGCCTTCGCCGAAACCCAGGGTAACACATTTCCACATTTCCTGACTCCTCTATCCTGACTCCCCACAGGACTTTGAGACCAGCCTGGGCAATATAGTGAGACTTCCTCTCTACAAATTAATAAATTAGCTTGGCTTGTTGGCCTGCACCTGTAGTCCTAGCTACGCAGGAGGTTGAGGTGGGAGGATCACTTGAGCCCAGGAGGCTGAGGTTGCAGTGAGCCATGATCCCACCACTGTACTCCAGCCTGAGGGACAGGGCAAGACTCTGTCTCAGAAAACAAAACCAACATTTGGCAAATGTAATTACTTTGAGAGAGATAGTTCAAAATCTGGGGATTTTTGGTTAGTTTTTACATTTACTACATAAGATTAGTCAGTAGAAATGAGAATTAGCTTTTTGTACGACAATTTACAATAGCTATTATTTTAAAAATATTTTTATTCTTAAGAGTCAACCTTAAATTAGTTGTTTGGAATTGTCACTATTTAGTGTATGACGAACAAGAACTTTGAAATTAGACGACCTGAGTTCTCAGCCCACAAGCACCTCGTTAGTAGTTTAATGACCTTAAACACTTCATGCTTATTATGTCTTGATTTCCTCATTTGTAAATAAGAGTAATAAAATCTATCTTCTATGGTTATTAAGAAGCCTAAATGATATAAAATGTTGGGATGAGTGCTTTGTAATTTTACTGGTAATAGATGCTGTTTAAGGAGACTTAAATAATTCAGCAAATCAGATGAACTATATTGCCATTATGTCAATTGAAAACTCCAAGTCTACCAATTTGACACTAGAAAGGGTTTCAGTAGGGGGCCCAGGGGCTCATGCCTGTAACCCCAGCACTTTGGGAGGCCAAACTGGGAGGACTGCTTGAGCCTAGGACTCCCCCTTCCCACCCTATCTCTACAAAAAAATTTTAAAAATTAGCTGGGTGTGGTGGTTCATGACTGTAGTCCCAGCTGTCTTGGAGCTTGAGATGGGAGGATCACCTGAGTCCAGAAGGTCGAGGCTGCAGTGAGTGGTGATCACGCCACTGCACCCAGTCTGGGCAACAAAGGGAGACCCTGTCTCAAAAAAAAAGGTTTTAATTTCAGATAGAAATACATCTCAGAGACTCAGGGTCTTGAGATACCTACATTAAATTAGAAATAAAATGATAAAAATCAGCAAACACCTATGCTTTCTGTGAATATACATTTCTCATATCCTGTCTCCTTGAAGTCTGCCCAAAAAAGGTACCCAGTCTGATACGCTGTTCATTATATGAAATTTTAGCCAAAAGTAGAACCATTAACTATAAATTAAAAGTCATGTTATCACTTATTTATTTTGGATGATGGATAACAAGTGTTTATCATATCTTTCTGTATGCTTTAATTTCCAAAATGAAAGTGTTTAAAAAAAAAATAAGACCCAGTAGTTAGCCTGATTCTCCAAACTTCAGGCCAGATTTTTGTAAACCACAAATCTGCAGCCAGTGCAGTGGCTCATGCTGGTAATCCCCAAACTTAGGGAGGCAGAATCTGGAGGATAGCTTGAGCCTAGGAGTTCAAGACCTGCGTAGGCAATAGAATAAGAACTCCGTTCTCCACAATAAGAAAAAAAAAAAAAAAAAAGACAATATACAAATCTGCAGGAAGGAATCTTTCCAGAAAGGAAGAATTTGTTTCAAGAACTGTTTTGCAGGAATATCAGAAGGGTTTTTTTTCTTTGACTCAAAGGCCGTAACACTGTACTTTATAACAACGGAAATAAAGGCATTAGTTTGAACAATCCTCTATGCTGCTACTATTGTAAAGTTTGGAGACTATAACTCACTCAAATTGGTTTATAGCCATGTATTTACCAAATCTTTTTTCATATTCCTTTTCTCCAGGCATGCAGGAATTTATATCTCACAGCCTTCTTAGAGTCAGTCAGGTTGAGTCGGGTGACTAGTTCAGGACAGTGAAACACATCAGCAGAAGTGAAAAGGCCACTCACTTCTGGCAGAGGCAAAGGAGGGCCCTTACAGGATTCTCCAGTCTAGCTCTTCTGCCAGCCCGGAAGTGCTAGGATGGCAGAGCCAGAGACGTAAGCAGCAGGGAAGCTGAGTCACCATGGGGACGTGAGACTGACTTACAGATGACGAGTGTGCAGCCTCACAGCCTAGCCCATGTTGAGATAAACACAATACAGTCTTGCATACTTTACAGTCATAAACGAGGGAGAACAGAAATGGAAAATGACCCTTTATGCCTCTAAGACCAAATTATAATGAAACAACTTATGTCTTCAGTTTTGAAAATTAAAGTTTTTGACCCTGATAAAACAAGTTTGCTATACAAGTATCCGTTAACCATGTGAAACCCACTGAAATGAGTCAAACTATTTTCTTACATTCTTTCCACTTCAACACCAATTTTAATCCTTAGTTCCAAATTAGTTTTTAGAGACTCTTGTAAGGAAAAGGAAAATCGACCCAGAATTTAAAAAATTGTGCTATTATTAGTTTATATAGCTTTCAACAATTTACAATAGCTTGCATAATTAGTATATTTAATTAGTATATAGAGACATATATATATATATTTGAGAGGGAACTTCACTGCAACTTCCCAGTTGCCTCCTGGGTTCAAGTGATTCTCCTGCCTCAGCCTCCCGAGCAGCTAGAATCATACAGGCGCCCGCCACCATGCCTGGCTAATTTTTGTATTTTTAGCAGAGACGGGGTTTCATCATGTTGGCCAGGCTGGTCTGGAAACCCCGACCTCAGGTGATCCGCCCGCCTCGGCCTCCCAAGGGCAGGGATTACAGGCGTGAGCCACCGCGCCCGGCCTAGTGTAATTTTTAAAAGTACAAAAGCCACTAGAAACCATGACAATAAGAACTTCCTTTTGGGTTTTCCAGCATTCGGTTTATAGGACATGGACCACACATACATGTTTTTTGAATGCTGAAATATTTTACTCATAACACAGTTTTCCCAGTAACTTGCTTCCGGTGGATTTAAAATTTGTAATATAACTTCGTCATAGCAGGTACCTTCATGAAACTCAGTATTTGAAAAAAAACGTGGAGGTTTCCCCCTTTCTTTTGGCCAGAATGTATGTCCAGGGTAGTGACTTTCGAGCAAATGCGTTTAAGCAACTCCAGTATTCTTACTACGCTGCCCCCAATCCCGCTCCAAGCATGGGGAGATCAGGGTTCCACATTTTCGGGTAAGTATCAGCCGTCCCGGCGCTGCGCGAGCGCATTCTACAATTCCGAAAACTACTAACTTTTCCGTCTGCAACCTTTAATAATTGAGAGGGTATGCGCAACTCAGAAAAGTGCGCCCGCTGCGGTCGGGTGCAGAGTGGACTGGAGGAAAGGCGACTCCCATTTACGGTGCGGCCCCGGGCGGGGTCCCCCGACACGGCCTTCCCGGCGTGCCACGCGCGGAGGGGACT